TGAGTCATTAGCTGTTCTTGGCTCAAATCTTTTGGCTTCTTGATGCAGGACAAAATTCCTACATCACTTGTGCATTCTTTCTAAGAGGGTGCTACTATATGAAAATCATGGATTTGAGCCGTTATTGATCTATCCTCTATAATTATAAAATTCAAGTATCTACTAATAAGCTATTTCTTTCTTTCAGCATCTTCCTCTTTATGTTTTTCTTCCAAAGCTTCCCATAGGTTCTTTGCCATTGGCATTCTTGAGAAGATGTCAAACAAAGAATTACTCAAGCATTCAGAATATGCCCTTTGCATATATAATATTTTCTTCGCACAATTGAATTTATTTGGCAATTTGATGTGGCGGCCTTCATTTTGGCAGCGGGTTGCTGTTTCTTCAATACATAATCTACTCTTGTAGTCCTCCACAAGAATTGGACAGTGGATTGCCAATCTCTAAAGTTTACTCCATCAAAATGCTTCAGTCTTACAAAATCCTAGGTCATGGTCTTTGGTGAGTTTCTGGTAGCCATCTTGTGATATAGTCGTATTTAACACTTCAAAAATTGTTGGTTAATGTTGGTTTTTCTTGACCCCTATGTAATGAAATTTTGGCAGAATCTCCCCTTAATGAGGTCAATTTATTGTATGAATATCTGAAAACTCCAACTTCCAGTTAAACCTCATAAAGATTAGGTCTGGATCTGGAGTTTATCAGGACAATAATAGATCTAAAGGCACGAGATGGACTTGCTTTCTTTGAAGTATTAAACACCCCTAACTTGGCAAAATTCCATTATGGAATCGGTCCCGTGGGGTACCACCCTAGGGTATAGCCAGATCAGAAAAACTCTTCTTGAGTCTTTGAGTTGCACACTCAAATGACTCGTAGAAAACCGCAACAAAATATACTGATATGTCCTCCAAATGACAACATAGTCGTAATCATCAATTCCGAATAACTGTCGCGAAATAATATCTAGTATTTCTACTTAAAACATGAGAAACATAATAATCACTTTGATATTCGCAAAATCCCGTATAAAAAATTAGGGAGTTGAAAGCCAACAACGATGAGTGCATCATCCTCCATTATTCATGTGAATCATCACCAAAGTATGGCACCCATGATACAAGACATAAAGACGTAAGATAAGAGAAGAAGATGGTGAGCTCATGATAGATATGGTATCGCTGTAAACTTTTGAAGGCGCAAGAGTTCTGGTTGAAAAGAAAAATGAGCGTGTAGAGGGAGAACATAATAAAGCATGGGGCTTAAATAGCATGAAGATGATGAGAACACATCATCATAGATGATGTGATAAGGTCATAAAAATAAATGCCTCATGTTGCCACATCGTTGGGTGGCAATCAAAGACAAGGCCAAAAGTGAACATCCCACATTTATCAAAGAAAGAGAGGGAGAAAAAACTATGTGGTCCATAAAGGACCATAAAGAACAAAATGATAGCCGCATAACAAAAAGTCTCATGACCACATACAACCATGGTCTAGAGTTAAGAAAATTAGAAGAAAATTAGTTGTTTTGAAGAAATTAACAGTTTTAAATTTCCATTAGATATAATGCCATATTCAAATTTAATGCAATGCTAATTTTTAAAATGTTTAAAAAACAACTAATTTTCTTAACTCTAGTCATGAGACTTCTTTTTATATATGTTTATAAGAATACCATTGAGGGCTCATTTTGTTCTTTGTGGCCTTTTATGGACCACGTTGTTTTTTTCCCCTCTCTTTCTTTGATAAACGTGACATGTTTACTTTTGGCCTTGTTTTTTATTGCCAACCTATGATGTCGCAACGTAAAACATTTATTGTTATGACCTCACGACACATCTTTGATGATGTGTTCTCATCATCTTCATGCTATGTAGACCCTAAGCTTTTTATTATGTTATCTCTCTACATGTTCATTTTTCTTTTCAATTGAAACTCCTATGCCTTCAAAATTTTACAACGCCATATCTCTCACTAACTCACCATCTTCTTTTTTTACCCGATTTCTTTCGTGCCTAACATCTTTATAGTTTTTATCATGGATGCATACGTTCGTGACGATTCATATGAGTAATGGAAGACGATGCACTCATCGTTGTTGGCTTTTAAGAGGATATCACAGTGAGTATTATGTGGCCCAGTTTCCGATGCTGGGCGAATTTCATTTTTGGGGTTTCGCATGTCTTGAGCAGAAATACTAGATATTATTTACTGAAAGTTATTCGGAATCGATGATTACCATAATGTTGTCATTTGAAGGACAAATCAGTATATTTTATTGTGGTTTTATGTCATTTGAGAGTGCAACTTAGAGATTGTATATTTTATTGTGGTTTTGTATAAGTCATTTGAGCGTGCAACTCAGAGACTCAAGTAAGAATTTTTCTAATTTGGCTATATCTTGAGGTTATATTTCCTTGGGACCGATTGCCACTCAAAATTTTGCCAAGTTAGGAGCATTTAACATTCGAAGAAAGCGAGTCCATCTTGTGCCTCTAGACTTGCAAATCTGTTGTTGTCTTAGTAAACTCCCAAACGAAATTAATCCCTATGTGAGGGTTAACTGAATATTAGAGTTTATGGATACTTATATAGTAAATTGACTTGGGTTAAGCGGAGATTCTGCCGAAATTTCATTACATAAAGAGTCAAGAAAAACCAACACTAACCAATAGGAGCACCCCCTAATTACATGGATATCATACTACTCGGATGAGGGCTGTAGAGGCTCACCCTAGTACTTCAACCTCGGTTTCGCCCATAGCGTAACTCTGAATGATTCATCAACTAGATAGATCAGATTTGTGGGAAGAAAAAATTTCAAATTTGATAGATTTGAGACATTTAAAATTTCAAACTAAGTTTTGCTCAATTTTGAAAAGTTACGATTTATTTGCAGCAATTGGTTTATCTTCAATGAAATCTTTTTCCTACGCCTATTTTTGAGTTAGTCATCCAATCATAGGCTTGTTTCTCACAAAGATTTTGTGACAAATCAAATTCAGATTTAGTATTCTTCAGAATTTTTCAAGAGCTTGGATCACCTAGATCCGAGCTTGGAGCCCAAATCTTGTTCGGGGGTTTTCATTGGAGTTCTCAAAGGAAGCTATGATAAGGATTGAGGGCATCTATTTGCAACGACTTTGAAGATTTGGGGATGTGCCTCAAGTTTTCAGACAATTTTTTTTTTTTTTATAATTTAGATTCCAATATTTGATTTATTTCTGACTAGATCAATTATAATTTATTTATAATTATTTTTGGATACAATTTTATGTTTTTATATTTTGAGTAACTTTTGTATTTTGCTATCTTATATCATTTTTATGAGAATCTGATATGTAACCACTTTTTTCTTTTTTCTTCCTCTTATTTTTTCATCTTTTATATTCTTTTTGTGTTTTTTATCGTCTTTTTTTCCTTCTCTGTTTCTGTTTCTTATCAAATTTTTAGGATTTTTCCCCAAATGTTTGTGGATTTTCTTTGGCAGCTTGGTGCGGACTCAGGCGAGTTGCTCAGACTCACCCGAGCCTCTTGTCTCACTCTGGGGGAAAGTCTGCAGCAGAGCCACTTTTCTTTCACTGACTAGACCTGAAATGTCTGCGTACAGTACCTGATTGACCTGATTGCTTATGCCATGATTTACATGTATAGACCTTTAGAATATCCTAGATGGCAATTTTACTAAATGTGTATTTTGTTATTCATGTTGTTGCGCATGCACTCACTTAAGATGTGAACTGTAATCCTACATGTGTGGCATGTGTATGTTGGTTTGTGAAGCTAAAACCAAAACAACTTGTGTTTGATGAGAAATAAACAGAACAAGATGAAGAGAGTAACTGCAATTTCATAAACCTGTGTATGAACAAAATCAACAAAATATATGATTCAACAAACATTAAGAGAATGAAGTAGACTCTGAAATGCTGAGGGGGTTTGCACGTTTTCATCATCTCAAATGACTCTGATATTAGCCAGTGCTATATGGGGAAATGATGCATTGAAATGGATACATCTAATCCTAAGAGGTGATAGAATGAGAGTAAATTGACTGTATAGATAACCCTGAGAATAGAGGAAGTATAACATGATCTTGTTGAGTGTGGTATATGGTACTCCAAAGGGCATCACTGTCCTGATGATAGACAGTTGGGGTCCATTGGGACATTCACTTGGATACTTTCATTACTTCATCGTCCATCATCAGGAATAGACATCGGATGCCCCATTGTATAGATTTCCCTGAGAAAATGTGATGAAACTTAGCCAGAAAGGCGCAAGTGCTATGGGAAAGAACCAGAAATTGCAAGAACATGAGAATTGGATGAGAAGGAATTCGATTTCTAGCTGTCACCATGTTTAGCGTTGCGAGTGAAGCTCTGTTTTTTAGTGAAAAAATGGGAAATATGTATATCTTACAGAATGCCTCTTTCTCTCTTATAAATGAAAGGAAGAATCGATATGTTTTTTATTATTCATAATTTTCTGTTACATGCCTGGGACCCGGTGAACAAAATTTCTCTTTTCTCTAAAAGTTTATTGTTAACAACAGCTTTTGGCTTTTCTCTCTCTCTCTCTCTCTCTCTTTCTTTTTTTTTTTACTGCATCATTGGATAGCTATATAGTATGAAATATTCGAGCTCTTGGGCCTGATTTTGGCATCTTTTCCATCACCCTCTAAAAGTTGATGTTTACAGCTTAGAGGGCACCAATGGGCTTCTCTCTATTGTTGCAACTATAACTACATGTTCTGATTCATGAAGGGTGTGTAATTGACCCATCCAAGCAGTTAATCCATGGTCCATTTGATTTTTCTCACTTTCTATTTGTGGTTAGAACTTCATCCTTTGGCTCCTAAAGAGCATTTAACAGTTTCATTTACTTGGAATGCAGTTCAAACTTGTACCCAAAACATGTGTGCCTTGGCATTTTTTTCACTCCTTTACCTTTAGTTTGACAATTCTAACATCACCACATTGATTTCTTATGTAGATACAAGGTTGGGGACATGGGGGTTAAGCAGCCCGAGCCCAGGTTAGAGCTTAAAAAACACAGAAGGCAGTCGCGGAAGAGGATTAACCAGTCATTACTAGATGAGCTCAATGATTTGGATGATGCAGATGATTTGGTTGACATTGGAGGTAACCTATGAGAATGATATTCTTCAATGGCAATTGTATAGAAAAGAAAACGTTTTGTGAACAGATGCATGAGAGCATGTGGTGTATATAGTGAGGTTATATCAGTCTCTTTCCGATTATTAGCTGTTAGCCTTGATCAATCTTTATTACCCCCAAGTTGATAGAATATAAGTTGAGGACAAGCCAGTTTGTGTAGAGAGAGAGAGAGCACGAGTAAAACAGTAGAAAGGGGTGCATTAAATTTGTTGAGGATAAAAATCCAAAATTTAAACAAAAATCCCATTCTATATTTGGAATTTACTCAAGTCCCATTTTTTGAGAGTGTATAGTGTATTTTAATTGTAAATTTTTTTTACATGGATTAAGGTCAAATGTAAATGATCTATACTTATCACCATCACTCACCTGTAAAAATATATAAAAATAATCAATGAAATGTCCAAAATACTCATATATGTTTGGTAATTTTATTTCTTTCAAATTATTGTTTTTTATTTTTTTTACCTGTGCACGATGGTGAGAAGTATGCAAGTTCTAAACTTGAGCTTAATCGATGTATGTAAAAAGTAAAATTAGGACACATTATACACTTAAAAAATGGGATGAGTGTAAAATATGAAATATATAGGAGTAAATGTACATTCCAAAAGCATAATGGGATTTTTCTGTCGATCCCCGAAAAGTTATGGTTCTTAAACCTTTTTTGAGTTATCTGTTTTTTGAGAAACAATAGCTTTACATTGACATAATTGCCAATTGGTCAATAGAACAATACAATATCATTCAACAAACTGAAAAAATAAAAAAGAAAATTACACAAACGGTTAGAGCCTTAGAGGTGACTCCAATTTTTCCTAGGGCATCCGCTTCGATATTTCTCTCTATATGCTTGAACAAAGGATCACACCATACCTACACACCAAGCCAACAATTCCCTCATCAACTTAGTAAAAAACCATGGTAATTCTGCCTCCTTTTTTTCCATCTTATTACATTAATCAAATCTCTTTCCACCACCACCGGCATATTAAATCCCTTCGCCAACTTCTAACCTTGTAACAATGACTGTAATTCAGTTTAATTCGCAGTCATCATCCCCTGGACCATAATCTTTTGTTAACACTACACCATTACAGTCCCTGATAGTACCTCCTGTCCATGTTGGTCTAGTGTTCCCCAAAGAACTTCCATTGAAATTTAGCTTAATCCAATCTTTCACTGGTACTTCCCGAATGCCCACCCTTATATCTTTTACCGATCTTTTAAAAAGTAAAACATTCAAATTGTACATTAAATCGAGGCGAGAGACCCCCCACTACTCCTCGTTAATTGATAACCATTCGGCTACTGTAAAATCTTATCTTTTCGCACACCTCTTCACTTGTCTTAACAATGTCTTCAAAACATCTTTTATTCCTCTCCATCCATAACTCTCAAAGAATTGTTGCTTTAACTACCTTACAAATTATTCTCCCTTGTTTTCGCAACACCATCTATGTTCTAGTGGGCAAATATCATCTCAGTTTGCATAGGAACAGCAACCTGTAGACCCAACCAATCCAAACACCATTTCCATATCTTCCTTACAAAACAACAGTTGAGGAATAAATGGTCCACTGTTTCTTCCTCACTTTTACATAATACACGCACATTTCTTACAATTTTACCTCTTTTCCTCAACACATTCACTGTTAATAGTTTCCTTAAAGTTAATAAGCGTATAAAAGCTATCTTCTTCATAAGAATAGGGCATTTCCGTATCTTCGCCCAATCTACATCTCTTCAACTATGACGATCTTAAAACAACAATTTATAAGCTGAGTCCACAGTATATTCACCATTTTTGTTAGGTTCCCAAACAATTATATCTTGGGCAATAATAATAATACTACTACTGTATCATCATCAAGTACTGCACATATTCTTCGCTAACAATCTCATCAACCCTTCTATAAGAACACCTTATATCCTATACAGTATTAAACCCTCTCTACCTTCAACCATCTCATCAACCATCCAACTCTTGGATGCAACTTTGGCAAACAAATCAGGAAATTAAACCTTTAAAGGCCTATCCCCAATCCATTATTGCTGCCTCCCCATTGCCAACAATCACCCTCATATACCTCAAAAAGAAATTTCTATGTGAGAATCCCTTTTCAACTCAAAGATTCCCCTTTCTTCCTTGGTCCTTTTGCGACAATGCTGTGCTCTTCATCTCCTCATATTTCTCCCCTAAAATACATCTCCATAATTGATCATTCTCTCTAGCACAGCACGACACCACCACTTTGTCAACAACGCATTATTCATTGATTTCAGCCTTTTAATCCCCATACCTTCATCACTAATAGGAGTACATACCCTCGCCTTCGCCCAATGCACCAAGCTAAACCGGTTCTTTTCATCACTTTCTCCCTACATAAACCTTCACAGAAGGCCGCACCACATTATTAGGCAATTTAGAAAGTGACATATAGTAAATAGGGAGATTAGCTAAAGCTGCCTTAATTAATGTCAATTTACCACCCAGTGACAATGGCTTATGCTGAGGAGAGGATGCCGTAAAGCTGTCGGTCTAGCATTTTCAGTCCCCAAGGTATTTGATTGGGAAGTTGCTTATCCCACAGTCCTCCAACTCAACAAAATCTTTTACTTTGGCCTCCTCACAAGCCACCCCAATAGTATTTTTTTTAATGTTAACTTTCAACCTTGTCACCACTTCAAAACGCCACAAAAACCTCTTCAATGTTAGATCTTCTTGTTCACTTGCTCCATAGAAAATTAGTGGGTTATTTGCGTATTGTAAATAAGACACCAGAGTCTCATTATTCTTGATAGTAAAATCATTCAACATGCCATATCGACCACATATTTAAGCATCACACTAAAAACTTTAGCCATTATTGTAAAAGGAATGGGGAGAAAGGATCTCCTTGTCTAATGCCCCTTGTAGCTTGAAAATACCTTTGGGCTTTCCATTTATTAGAGTAGAGAAATGTGCCGACTCCAAACATCCCTTTATCCTCATTAGCCATCTTTTGCCAAAGCCCATGGCTTTCTTAGTTTGCAAAAGAACCTTCCACTCAACCTAATCATAGGCTTCCTTTAAATCAATCTTACATATAATCCTAGCCCTTTTCTTAGCAAGCCTAAGACTAATACACTCTTGAGCACATAAGCTGCTATCCGTAATATGTCTTCCATAAATAAAAGCTTACTGAAGACCTTTAACTACCATTGGCAGTCCTTAATCTTTTTGCTAGACACTTGGCAATAATCAAGTACAAACTTTTGAGGAGACTAACGGGTTTCATATCACTTAAACTTTCAATAACCCTTTTTTTTGGAATAAGAGCAATGAAACTCGAATTAAGACTGACATTCACCCTCCCCTATGATTGAACTCATTTATCATACCCACCACTCATTGTCAGAAATAAAGTTTGAAAAACCTCTCATATATGAATTAATTCTATGTGATATACTAGACTCTTACGGCCTACTCGAGGGATCATTCGGACCATACACATTTGGCAATAACAAACATTTTCCACTTTTTATGTGCACAAAAATACAAGATAGATACTAAATGTCCAAACTAGACCAAACAACATTAATCACATAAGGGTCCCAAACAGTCCAAATACCCCTTGAAGAACCATTAGATTCCTTACAACAAATTGTATGGGTTTACAACCCATACAGGCCTAACAGATTGAATACAAAGACTTGAAATTTTTGTTTCTTGAAGCCAAACCAAATCAGAGCATTCGTTTTTTGATGAGTCGTCTTAAACCATGGGCTCATGTCACTCTTTTCTTAGGGCTTGGACTTGGGCCTTAAAAAGCCTAATGGGTCACCTAGTTTATTGACATCCCTAACCAAAGCAAATGGAGAAAATGCAGAGCAAATATGAGTGTGGGAGGAGAGACAAATATTCAAATGTGAGTTTGCGTCATTTGGAGTCAAAACTAGTGATTCTAGTTTTGCTGCACTCTCATACTAGCCAAGGGTTTAAAAATTGTTGATGTGGATCTGGATCGGGTTCAGTAAGTGGACAATTCGGGTCTTTAGAACCCGTTTAATTTCTCAATTCCCACCAATTTTAACTTATGCAACTTTTTTTTGGAGTTCTTTGTTACTTGACCTTGAAAAATGGTTAGATTTAGATCGGGATTCCTGATTCGGGTCGGTCCCACATGTGACCGACCAACCATCCGGGATTTAAATCCCTGTGCTAGGCATTTGATGATGTGATATGGACTCCTGAAATAACGGTTGTTTAGAATGTAATGAAAGGGAGACAACTGCATGTAGGTGAGAGAAAAGGATAGTTGTAATAACTGCACAAGTAGGAATGTAATGGCTGATTGTGGTCTATGTTTTGGGCTGTAAAAACATGGAAATGGACCGAAAAATGAAGACTATATCTCATTTGATGATCTCCATACCTTATCTCACTTGTCGATGGACAATTCTTCAATGACCCAAAAGGCACAAAGTTGGTTTACTTTATCTTGGGCCAAAAGACATCTTACTCCCTTGGGAGTATATTGTCCATTTACTCCCTTTGGTAAAACCCCACCCTGCATTAGTTTTAGGACCCCAAATTTTGGGGATATAACCTCTTTAACATATAGATCGATCTCATTCATAACTGCACCCTTAAACACTTAAAACAAATAGTGTCTCGAGATTGAATGGAGACCATCCATGTTTTAAAGGGTGAGATCCAAGTGCTAGAAAACTCAAATTTCATTTATTTTTTTCTTTTTGAGAATAATCATCTAGTGAATCTAAAATGGTTACCAAAGTTTCAGATTGGAAAAAACCTTAAGTCATCTTACCGAGGGAGTAGAAGTAAACTATGTTCCTGATGGAGCACTTTTATGTTGGGAAGAGATACCCTTTCAAATGGAAAGGTTAAAGGGATTGAAGCATACAAGACTAAGTTGGCCCACCTAGAAGGGGACTCTTTCATTTTCTTGAATTAATAGTGCAATACAATGAAATTACTGGCGTTCTTGGAAAATTTCAACCTGTTGGATAGAGAGAGAAAGTGAGGGATTTTCAAAGGATGAATTGTTTACAACACAAATCTGAGAGAGTTGTCAATGGAGAGACCT